ACTGTTGCTCTTGTTGCTGTGTGACTGGAGGGGCAGTGGTCCTCCCTGTCCAGGGGATAGCATCTCAGCAGGTGCTGGGTCCCTGGGCCAGACCCATATCCCTCATGGCATAAGTTGGCATCTGTGAGACCTGAGGGCCATCGGCCCTGCGTGCAGCCCCCACGTGAGTGTGGCCAGCCCAGCCAATCGGTGCCCTCTGCACGGCCTCTGAGTGCCTTATGAGGCTCAGGAGCTGGCAGTCTGGGCACAGCACTGCTCAGAGGCTCTGTGCCCCTTGGGTAAGTTCAGGTCACTGCAAGGATACTTGAGGACAGGCACCCAGAAAGGACATTCTACTAGGACCAACTTTTACAGGGATAATTCCATTTCTTTTAATTCCCAAAACCTGTTCTCATTGCTTTCCTCAGTGTATCCACTGCCTAGTCACCGCTTCCTTTTACCTTTTGGGGTCAGTGCTGGGGGTCCAGGCAGAAAGGTGTGAGATGCTGGCCGTGCCACCTTGAGCTCGCAGAGGTGGGAGGCGGAGATTTCGAGGCGCGGCACTGTCATGGGGCCTGTTGCTGTTGCTGTTGTCCTTTTCGTCCTGTCTTTCCAGCACGGAACCGCAGATGCTTGGCTACCGTCTGCCCACACTGCCAGCTCCGTGCTGGTGCTGTGCGTGCACCTCGGGCCACGCTCCTGCCTGGCTGCTTGGCACACAGCTCAGCCACCAGCTCTCCTCAGCAGTCCCTGTGGTGTCCTGGGACACGCAGGCCTCCCATTACCTAGGCAGGGTCACCAGCAACCGTAAGTCTGACCTTCATCCTCGGCTGCTGACAAGTGAGAGGGCTGTGCGAGCGGGCCTGGCCATGCCCGGCCCTGCACCGGGACATTTGGCTGTGGAGCGCCCAGGCATGCCGAGTAGGAAGATTCTGCCTGTTGCGGCCTCAGTCCACCTCCTCCTCCTCTGTTCTGTCGTGCATTGCGGGATAAATCTGCGACCTCCACGCTGAGCTACAACTCCAGCCCTTTTTTATTTTGAGGTGGGGACCCCCTCCTGAGTTGCTGAGTCACCCAGGCTGAGCTCCAGTTTGGAACTCTCCTGTCTTGGCCTCCCAGAATTCTGGGATTACAGGTGTGTACCACTGTCTGTTTTTATTGTTGTGAGGCCCAGTCTGGGTGGCGTGTGTGTGGCCAGGCAGGCCTCATCCCTCTCACTTTCCCCTCCTGAGGTGCTGGGGCCCCAGTGCCGCCTCTGTGCCGAGCTAGGCCATGTGGATCAGCAGTGTGTCATCTTCGATGCTTTGCCTTGTCTGCTCTGATTTAATTTGTGATAAGAGGCAAGACCCTCAGCAGTTCCGTCTGGGACGCTGATGTCCTCTCTGGGATCGTTGCTCTGGATGTGTGCCTGGGGATGTTACTTGCAATCGTTTTCCAGGTGACCCTGAGCGGTGGGTGTGAGGATGAAGGAGCTCGTTTCGTGGGGGGGGCTGCTGGGCTCACTGCAGCCTTCCCCACTCTTGGTCCTCGGTGCAGTTCTGAGGTGGATGAGCGGGTCACTTCGTGGGGCAGAGTGCATCTGTGAGTGCCTTCAGGTTGATGCGCCAAGGCGTGCAGCCTCATGGAATCCTTGTCCCTGTGGGTGGGGCCTCTGAGCTTAGGGAGAGCAGCCCTGAGGCTACCAGCCAGCATGCGCGCTTCCGCTTCTTCCTTTGTCACTGTGTTTGACTCACAATTTTCTCCGAATCCCCTGGGCAGGGAGGAGAGGAGAAGGGGACCATGGGGCACTTTTGAGCCTGATGCTCTCTTGGGCTCAAAAAAGCATCATTGGAAGTAGCCCCACACTTTAAGGGGCTGCCTCGGGGCCCTGCGCCCAGGTCCCCCAGGTGGCACCGCGCCAGCTCCTGGGGACGGAGCACTGGCTGCTTCCCCATGGACAGCTCTCCCTGGTGTCGGGTGAGGCTGAGAGCCGGGTCCTTGGAGTAAGGTGCCTGGGGCCTGAGGCTGGCTCTCTGCCGGCCAGCCCCAGGCCTTTCGTACCAGTCTGACAGGGGTCCCTCATCTGCATGTCTGGTACAATGCTGGCACCCTCGTGGGAGAGGGGTGGTCCCTGTGAGCTCCCCTTGCTGATCTGTTTGGAGAAAAGTGGTGACATCTGGAGAGGGCAGCACCTCCTGTGCGCGTGGCTTGGGATATGGCTGTGCGCTGTGCAGGGCAGGGCCTGGCTGTGGGTGCACAGCCCACTTCCCTCGTGGGCTCCTGGGCATGGCTGGAGGAAAGTGGTCTGCAGGCCTTGCGTACCCTGTCCTCCTGGGGTGCCAACAGCCTTGGCCTCCTCCACACCCTTCCCAGGTGACTGTGACACTCCTGAGTGCCAGCGCCATCCATGACCTCTCACTTTTACCCAGAAATCCCTGCTGTGAAGAGAGAGAGGGCTGCAGGTTGAGTTCTGCCCCAGGCCGCCTGCCCAGCCCCTTCCCTCTCCCCAGCGCATTCTGCTGCAGCTTGTGCTGGGTCAGAAATAGCGCGGGCTGGCCTGCTCCTCCTGCACCTCCAGCCCACCTCAGCCTCAGCCCGGCCTGGGGCTGCGCTGCCCCATGGCCCTGCGGCCCTGCCTCATTGTTCAGCCTGGCTGCTGCAGCACAGAGGTGCCACTTGGTTCCAAGGAAGCTCTGTGATCTCGCTGGGTCACGTGCCGTCACCCCATGCCTAGGTGGGCACTGTGAGCTTGCGCATGCAGCCTCCATCCTGGCAGCCCTAAGGTGGGGTCACCCTAGCAGGTGGAGAAGCAGAGGCTCAGAGAGGTTGGTGAGAGATCCAAGGCCACACAGTGGGCAAGAACAGAGCTGGCGTTTGCCCCCCACACCCAGATGCACAGGGCCTGTTTTGCCTGTTCAGGGAGCCTCTTTCCACTCCCCACCACCCAGCTTTGTTGCCCCAAGCACCGGGGTGTGAGCAGGGCTCTAGGCCGATTGGACCACTGGGGACAACAGCGCAGTGATAGCCTGAGCTCTGTGTGTTGTGGCTGTGTTTCAGGGACAGCACTGGCCATTCCTAAGGGCCTGGGTGATGTGGCCCCTGGGCCTGGTGACATCTCACCGCTGTATGTGTTGTGTCACTGTTAGTGTGCAGCCGGTCACAGCTGCCTGCATCAGTCCCTTCTGCCCAGTGTGCAGTGCCCTGGCCTTCAGGCCCAGCCACTCCTCTTCTCCATCTCCACCAGAGTGAAGGAGCCTGTGGTTCTGGCTCTATCCATACCTCGAGAGCATTGCACCCACCTTCTGGGTCATACTCCTGGTCCTCATCCTTCGGCGAGCTCCATCAGAAGTGTAGATCTGAGTGGTGAGCACTTGCCTAGCCTGCACAAAACCTTGGTTCATTCCCCAGCAGTGCTAAGCTAGTGATTTAGAACGAGAAGTAGAGATCTGACCTGACCTTGTGCTGTGCAGAGCCTGGCCCTGAGCACCAGCAGAGGACTAGCTCGGGATCCCACTGGGACCTAGTGCAGGGCCTGCGTGGGCCCAGCTCCCTGCCAGTCTCGCAAGGCCTGGCAGCAGCCCGCTGCTCTCAGAGCCTTCGTGCCTACTCCTGTTGCTGTAGTCACGGCAGCCTTCCTGGTCCCTGTCCTGCAGTGTGACCAGGTAGCAGTGCTGCTCCACTTGGCCGCTGGCGCTGCGTGAGGCACAGTAGGGTTCCTCTGCCCGGACAGCAGGCAGCATTCAGAGGTTACGTACACAATGGTGAACAGTTCTTCTCAGGCCCTCCCGAGAAGAGTGTTTGGGGCTTGAGCTCCACACAGCCCCAGTGTGGGCCACAGGCTTGTATGCAGGGCTGCCAGTCCTGCTTGGCCACTGAAGCCCATGCCAGCAGAGACAGAAGCTCACACAAAGTGGCTCAAGTCAGGCCTCTGGTGGTTTGCACCAATTATATGACAAAATGGCGAGAAGCACAGGGAGGGGCTGTCTCAACAGTAAGGAGACTGCCTGGGATGTGGTGTAGCGGTGGGCGCGCACCTAGTAGGCCAAGGCCCTGGCTTCCACCCGGTGCTGGCTCCAAGGTTGTCCGATGGTATGTGGGGCCCTGCATCAGAGACTCCTGTGAGCTGTACGTGACTGCAGCTCCTTCTTGGCTCTGGGGGTGTGGGTGCCTTGTCCTGTGTTCAGTCTCAGGATCCCCCATCCGCATAGGGTCTTTTTTCCCTGATCATTCCCATGAAGGGAATTTAAGGTTCCCGGAAATTTTTCTGGAGTCATAAGCTTTGACACCACCCCCACCTAAGAATCAGGAGCCAAGGAGAAAGGAAGTTTGAACCCCTGCCACCTGCAGTCTCATTCTCCACCTGAGTCAGTAATTCAATGCTACTAAGCAAAATTAATTTGCCTCCTATAGGAAAGTTCATGATGAATGGTAGGGTGCTCATGGGGAGGGAGCCGGGCTACCATCATGGTCATCCATATTTCTTAGCCCTCAGCAGTGTCAGGAAGTTGGCTGGCCTGGCTGGGGACCTCGACTGCCCACGCAAGTGGGATGGAGCCAGGGCAGTTGAATGTGAAGGACTCCTTATGAGGCCTGAAATGAAAATGGAAGTGCAATTGGCCACATGTCCCTGGGATTACAGCGCTTGCATCCTTGACTGGTGAAAGTCCAGGTGCCCCCAGTGCCAGGATGCCGTGAGTCCCAGGGAGGGTCGTTCCTGCAGCTGTACCAGCTTCCTGGGCCCTGCTGTGCCACTCGCCCACCTGCCCCTATTCCTGCTGCTGGAGGGGGCCTGACCTGCAGTCTCCTCCTGGAAGTGTGACTTCGCTTGGACCTCAGACCCACCTCTTGATGTCCAGGGCCTGGGCATGCAGTGCTCAGCAGTAGGAAAGCTAAGCTGGGTGGTCCACACCTGCAGCCCTGGCTGCTCAGAGGCTGAGGCAGGAGGACTGCTGGAGCCCAGAGCGTGGGGTCAACCTGGACAACAACGTGAGACTCTTGTCACAGTTATGTAGGAAGTGGGGACACATAGTCATGAGCTTTTCTTTTGTTCTTTTTTTCTCTAGCTGCCATTAACTTAGCAAAGCTGAAGCTTTTCAGACACTACTACGTCTTGGTGAGTAAAGCAGCGCTAAGCCTTGGAAATAAAGTGAGTTCAAGGATCAGAACAGATAAACTTTAAAAGATGAGGGGGGCAGCAAGATAGCTCAGCGGTCTAAAATGCCTGCTTAGGCAAGCTTAGGCAGGCACAGGGACCATGGTTCAATTCCTGGCACCATGTGCTGTGCCAGCCCTGTCCCCAGGGCAGCCTGAGCTGACCACAGGGGGTGGGGGGGAGATGTGGGGAAGCAGAAGGGGTCAAGCTGTCTGGCTCTGCTTGAGTTCTACATTTTAGCATCAGGTTGTGTTTCTTAAAGTGAAAATTAAATATCTGGGCCTCTTCTTCCTAATTTTGGATTTGATTTAAAATACATGGGAAGGGGCTGGGGAGATGGCTCAGTGGAATAAGCGCTTCCCTGGCAAGCGCAAGGGCCTGAGTTCGATCCCTGGTTCCGCAAAAAAATAAATAAAATAAATTTAAAAAAATAAAATAAAATACATGGGAAGGGGCTGGGGAGATAGCTCAGTAAAATAAGTGCTTCCCTAGCAAGCGCAAGGGCCTGAGTTCAATCCCTGGTTCTGCAAGAAATAAAATACATGGGAAGGACCAGCCAAATAGCTCAGTGGATTAAATCACTCACCCGCTTAGGCAGGTGCAGCAGCCGGGTTTTATCCCCGGCGTGCAGTGCCAGCCCCACGCCCAGGGCACGCTGAGACTGGTGATTGGGACTGGGTGGGATGGTGCATGCCTGTAAGCCCAGCTCTTTGGGAGGCTGGACCCAGGCGGATCACTAAGAGTCTGATCTGTGTAGTGAGACCCTGTAGACCTTTACTAAAATACAAAAATAAATAAAAATAAATACATGATGATGATGATAAAATACATGAGAAAGTAGCTGGGAATAGTAGTGTACACCTATACTCCCAGAACTTGAGAGGCTGAGGCCTTGAGGAGGATTGCCCAGGTTTGAGGTTGGTCTGGGATACACAGTGAAAGCTTGTCTTGGAAAAAAAAACCAGGGGCCGGGGAGATGGCTCAGTGGAATAAGCGCTTCCCTGGCAGGCGCAAGGGTCTGAGTTCAAACCCCGGTTCTGCAAGAAAAATAAATAAAAAACAACAAAAACCAACTTAGAAAAGTAATGCATGTTTGATGTGAAAGCAGAACCATGCGTCCTAGCAACCTGCGGGGCCCTGCAGGAGCCCCTCCCTGCGGTGACGGGCCTAGCTAGGATCTTGTCCCCTCCGCTCTGACCCTGTTGCTGTGCCTCTGCTTCACTATTTTATTTCTTTAGGAAAGTGGGACTGCACTGCAACACTCTCTCACAGCCTTTTTCTCACGTAAAATTCCTGTAGTCCCCAGCTCCCTCTTGGGTACCCTCTCTCCTCTCAGCTCTGAAGTAATGGTACTGCCTTTGTATCCTGGAGAGTGCTTGGTCTTCTTTGGGAGGTGAGCACCAGGGATTGAACTCTGGACCTTGCACGTGCCAAGCAGGCTCTTAGGCCTCTGAGCCGTCCCCCACCCCGCCCCTCAGATTCCCCTGTAGGAAGCTAGTCCTGTGTGTGGTCGGGGCCCACAGTGTGGGTTTTCCAAGCTTTGCCTCTGCTGTGCTGGCGGTTTAGCATCAGCTATCCAGTGCGACAGTACCCAGGTCTGAGCAGACATTTAAAGTGTCAGTGGAGCAGCAGGGACAGGGGACCCACTCTGGCTGTGGTTTTAGTGAGGGATAATGTCATCCCCCAAAAGGAGAGCCTCTTCTGGGGCACTGCACCTCCATGGCTGAGTCCCGGCCTGTCCTGGGAGTGGGCTGTGTAGTGGGTGGAACACCAAGTGCTCCAAGCTGATGTCCTCAGCATAGACCCCTCCCAGCATCTGCTGACAGAGACCACAAGTCCTGGTTCCCCCTGGCGATAGGTAGCTGTTTTCTGAACCTGAGAATGGCAAGATGGTCCCCTGGTGACAAGCCCAGGTATGTGTGTGTGTGTGTGGCCAGGTGAGGAAAGGTATGTCTTCCTAGGACACTGGGGGTGACCATGCTGTGTCTTGGTCACCTGAAGACTGGAAGAACACCATAGTGCAGCCGGCAGGAGTCATCTCTGTGCTTGTAGTGCTGTAGTTAGCAAGGGGTGTGCGTGTGTGTGTGCACAGCATGTGGCCCTCGGCTCGGTGTAGGCGTTCCTCTCACCTCCCTGCTGGCTCTCCTCTCCTGTTGTCTGCAGATCGTGTGTTACATATACTTCACCAGGATCATCGCGTTCCTCCTCAAGTTGGCTGTCCCCTTCCAGTGGAAGTGGCTTTACCAGGTACGCTGGCCTCAGATACCAGGGCGCTGAGGATGTGGGGGGAGACAGTCTTGGGCATAGGCTCCTGTTTGCTCTGCTTTACCTGGGAACCTGGGGGCAGCCACTAAGACCCTCCACCTCTTCTAGACACTTAGCTTTCTCTTTGTCAGAGTAAACTGCTGCATTACCAGAGCCATCTAGGAAGAATTGCATCGTTGATTTTGGTTTTTAATTCAGAAATTCTTTTGGAGAGGAGAGCCTCGGGCAGAGAGTATGATTTAAATTCACAGAGCCTGGAGTGGTTCTGGGCCCAGGCTGGGCCCTCCGCTCTTACAGGGCATCTCTTTGGGGCCTAGAAGCATCTTCCTGCGAGCCAGCCAAGTGATCTCAGCACCATTTTTCTTGAAGAATTCACACTGTAGGAAAATGTGGTATGAAATGAGTTCTTCAGGCCAGGGATATAGCTCAGCTGCCCAGTGCCTGCCTGGCAAGCATGAGGTCCTGAGTTCAGTTCCCAGTACTAGAAAATAGAAATGAATTTTTCTAATGTACCAGAGACGTGGGCCTGGGGGCACCTGCCTCTAAGGCCAGTGCTCTGAGGGGCTAAGGCAGGAGGATCACAAGTTCAAGCCCAAGCTGGGCAATTTAGTGACTTAGGCCCCATCTCGAAATTAAAAGGTCCAGGAATGTAGCTCAGTGAAGGCCTTGGGTTTGATCCTCCCTGCTGCAAAAACAAAAAATAAGGTAGCCTTGGAAGGGCTGAGACGGGGCTCGGGTAGCACATGTGTCCCATATGCAAGGGCCCTGGGCTCCACGCCCTGTACCTTGCCTCCCATGTCAAAAACTGTCCCCTGAGGCCTGGTGGCAGCAGCCCCTCTGCAGTGCGGTCCAGGCGAGGCCCCTGCTGCAGCCTCTGGATTTGAGGAGACAGACACTCAGGGCAGGAGCGGCTGGGGCCCTCGGCTTGTTCAGCACCTCTGCTTTCCTGGGAGAGGTGTCACTGATCCTTTACCTTGGTGTTGTGTAATACGCAGCTCCTGGATGAAATGGCCACACTGGTGTTTTTTGTACTGACGGGGTACAAATTCCAACCAGCCTCGGACAACCCGTACCTGCAGCTGTCTCAGGAGGATGATGACCTGGAAATGGAAGCGGTGTAAGCTGCCTCCCTCTCCACTTCCGCCTTCTTGCCCTCCCCCTCTCCCCTCCTCCCTCCCCTCCCTTGCTTTTCTCCCCTCCTTCCCCTCCCTTCCTGTTTCCTCCCTCCTTCCCTTCCCTCATCCCTCCTTCCTTACCTCCCCTCATCCTTCCTTCCCCTATCCTCCCTTCCCTCTTCCTCTCCTCTCCCCTCCCTCCTCTCCCCCTCCCATAGCTCTCCCCTCCTCTCTTCCTTGGCCCCAACCCCTCTACTCAAAACATGCAGCACAGTGCCCCGGGGGTGGCCTCTGTTCTTAGCAGGACTGGCACTCCTAGACTCCTGGACCCCAGGCCTTTGAAGCGCAGTGTCGGCCAGCTGTTGCACTTTGTCAGGAAATGGAAGGGGCTGCATGGTAGGAGCCTGGGCGCATCCTCCAGCAGTTGAGAGCCCAGGCATTGTGGGCTCTCATCCCTTCCCCATCAGGCCTGCTGCTAGCAGCTTAGGTCTGAGAGTGCCGTCTTTGGGGTCACCTGCAGGGCTGCCATGAGCCCTATCGCTCCTCTGTCTGAGATGCAGGCTGAGAGGCTGGCTGTCCACAGCTGCACCTGGCTGGCTTGTGGCTGAGCTGCTGTGGGCCCTCCACATTGTGGACCATGACCTTGGGCTGCATTTCCTACTCACTTGCTATGATTTTGAACCTTCAGGGCCAGCTCAGCCACGCATGGCGATTGGGCTTGGCAAGCTCTTCCCTTGTCCTTTCTCCGGGTTCCGCCTGCCATTCACGATCCAGAGCTCAGACTGCCTTTGTGTGGCAGAGCTGGGTTTGTCCCGTGCAGAGGAGGGCACGGGGCTCTGTTCAGGCAGCAGGAGGAGGCCAGGCTGAGCTGTGCTGCTCACAGGTGGCTGCTGGCTGGAGAGGCACAATGCCAGCCAGCTGGTGACAGCTGCCCCGACCAGGGAACCCTGGCCGGCTGCCCCAGTCTCAGCGGGGACCCACAGCTTGTCCGCAGCCTCATGCAGCTCCCTGGGCTGCACTGAGGAACTGGAGGGCTCAGCCAGTGTTCCCAGCACTGCTGAGCTGAACCCTGAGAGTGGCTGGCGGGAATGCCTTCTCTTCGTCCCTCTCTCAGCTGCTGTGTCTTACAAGGAGGATCCGTTTGTATCATAACCCCTCAAAATTGTTTTTTGTTTCGGCCTAAGCTTTTTTCTCTAGATAAAGATTCTGGGGTGTGCGTGTGTGTGTGTGTGTGTGTGTGTGTGTGTGTGTGTGTGTGTGGTTTTTGGTTTTTGCTCTTTTTACACAATCATTTTATTAGTGTATTTTTAGATACACACAGTGATCACATTCACATAGAGAATTTGCATCTGTCTGTGGCATAGCTTGATTTTTTTTCCATTTTCCTCCCATCCAAAGACTCCTCCTTCCCCTCCCCTTTTACAAAAGTTTTGTTTCTAGTTTCCTTCCATTCTCTTTTCCTTTTCCCTCCCTCCTTCCTTCCTGCCTCCCTCGTCCCCCTCCCCGTGTGAACATGTCCTTCCTACTTCCCCATATCTGCCTCCATTCTGCTCCTTGAACCCTTTTGGGTTTTCACATGAGAAGCTCAGGTGCGAACTTGAGTGTCACATTATTCCACGCACGATCCCGGTCCCGAGGTGCATGCATTTCCTGCAGATGACTGCTTTGTAGCAGAGTAGCCCTGCGTAGTACAGAAATGCGTTTTCTTGTTCTGTTCAGCTGTTGATGGACATGTGGGCGCTTTCCAGACCGTGCTGCTGTGAGCATGGGTGTGCGTGCATCCCTGTGGTGTGGTGCTTTTAACTCGAGAGAGCTAGGACGGCGTAGCTGGCTCAGATGGAACCTCTTAATTTTAGTTCTTGAGGAATCTCCACTGTGATTTCCACAGTGGTTGCACCAGTCTACACTGCCACCAGCAGTAGAAAAGGGTCCTTTTCCCATGCCCCCCGCATTTCTTGATAATAGCCGTTCTTTCCCCAGTGAGGTAGAATCTCAGCGTTCTAATTTGCAGTTCTCAAATCATCAGTGATGTTGAGCATTTTTTCATATATTTGTCATTTGTACTTCTTCATCTGAGAAATGTGTATTTAGCTCAGATTCCTATTCTTAAATATGAGTCTGATTTTTGAGTTCTTTATATATTCTAGATACTAATCCTTTGTCTGAAGGATAGCTGATAAATTCTTTCCCATTCTGCAGATTGTCCCTGCACTCTGTTAGTGCTTTCTTCTGCTGTGCAAAAGCTTTTTTTTTGTTTTTTGCAGAACCAGGGATTGAACTCAGACCCTTGTGCTTGTCAGGCAAGTGCTTATTCTGCTGAGCCATCTCCCCGGCCCCTGAAAAGCTTTTTGATAGGATGTGATCCCAGCGGCGAGTTCTTTGTGGTATTTACTGTGTGATCAAGGTTTTGTTCCTAAAGTGTTTGCCTGCATCTGTGTCTTCAAGAATTCTGCCTCTTCTATCTTCTCTTCCAGTGGATTTGGTGTTTCTGTTTTACTATTTAGATCTTTGATCCATTTTGGTCTTAGTTGAGTGCATCCTGATTGACTTGTGTGTGGAGTTTTAGTCTTCCACATGTGGGAAGACAGTTTTCCTGGCACCATTTGTGAAACAGGCTTCCAGTGAAGGGGTTTGGCCCCTTTGTCAAAGAGAAGGTGGCTAATGTGCCTGGAGCTGTTTCTGTATCTTCTAATCTTCTCCATTAATCCTCCAATAGTGTATTTTACTCTTTTCTTTCCTCCCCTCCCCTTCCCTCCTCTCTCTCTCTCTTTCTTTCTTTGCCAGTACTGTAGCTTTGTAGATGACTTCAACTTGGGGAAGTAATGTCCCTGCCTTGCCTTTGTTTCCCAGAATTGTTTTTGCTATTCTAGGTTTTTTCTAGTTCCATATGAATTTCAGGAATGTGTTTTCTGGTTCTGTAAAGTATGCTGTTGGTAATTTGACTAGTCCTGGATTAAATCTATGTAAAAATTTTGAAAGTATGTTGGCCCCACATTTTTAAAAATTTCGTTTTGCTGTCAGTCTCACTGTGAGTGTATTTGATGTTGGCTGTGAGTGTTCCAACAAGCAGTTCTCCGGAGTGTTGAAATCAGGCAGAGCAGAAGGTGTCAGCCCACAGACCACAGGGGTGGAGAGAGAACGCACTGAGGAGGTGGGATTGCAGGGCTGAGGTGTCCGTGGAGGCCCTTGTGAGAGTCCTGGGACAATGGGAGAGGCAGCGGGGCTGCGGAAGAGTGGACTTAGTCCCACTGCAGAGGCGTCCTCGTGTGAGGCTGCAGAGGAGAGAGCCGCGTCCAAGTGGGCGCCGGCCCTGGGAGCTGACCGATTGGGGATTTCTCTGCTAACACGAACTTTGTCCCTTTTCAGGGTGACGACGTCAGGGGTGATGGAGAACATGAAGAAGGTCAAGAAGGTGACTAACGGCTCGGTGGAGCCCCAGGGTGACTGGGAAGGCACCGCATGAGGCGCTGGCCCTGCGGACGATGCTGTCAGAGGAGATGTCGCTCACGGTCCTATCCGGCATCAGGAGTGGCTCCGGCAGCCGCCCGCAGAGCACCGCACACGGACCCCACTTCTCTTCGCTTAGGGGAACCAGGACCAGCGTGGTGATGGCAGCCCGGACGCCCTTCAGGTGGGGGTGCGGGGAGGAGGACGATTTGCCTCTAGTTTACTCTCTTCAATGCGGAGCTCTAGGTACAGGCAGCCGTGACCCCGAGTGTGCGGAGCGCAGGTGTGGGTGGCCCTGGAGGTCAGGCGCTGCTTCTGGACATGGCCAGATGGCCGCCACGGACACCGGGGGAAAAGGGGACGGGCATGGCATCCTTCGGGGACAAAAGGGAACGACATTGTAGAAGGCGAAGCAGAAGCCCGGCGTAGGACGAAGATCCCATCCTGGGGCTCCCCCCGAGTGTGGACCCTGTGGGCCAAGAGGCCGCCATCGCGCTCTGCTTTCCAGAAAGGCTCAGTCCTCCGAGGCCGCCGCTGGCTCAGAGTCGCAGCCCTGGGCCACGCCTGCTGTGGGAAGCAGGTTCCTCCATTTGTTTCTGCGTTGAGGCGGCAGGAATGAGCTGGAAAGGTATTCTCCAGCTGGACTTCTGGACTCCCCAGCTCTCCTGGGCCGGCTTCCTCTGTGGCTTACATCTGCTTTAGGATCAGATTTGGGAGCATTTGGGGAGGAATCTTCCTCGAGGGGCAGCGGCGCTTAAGGGCAGCCGCATTATTAAAGCTTTTCTGGGCTTCTCACTGGAGCATGCGCAGAAGTGCCCTGAGCGCCAAAGTAAGTGGGGCGAAAAGAGTGCGGTTTAGCCAAAGTTTGGCTCTGCGCTGCGGTGGGGGCTCGGGGTGGTGCGCTCTCTCCAGGACGCTCCCTCCGCCCCTTCAGTCCCCCTGAGCGTGCTGTGCTCCTTGAGGTGCCTGTGAGGGGGGGGTAGCAGGGATCTGAACTGGCCGCAATCGGCTTCAGCGGGTATAGGGCCTCTGCAGCGGAAGGGTCTGCTAAGCTGCGGCTGGCTGGGCTGCATTCCTTGTCCTAAGTTTGGGAACACGAAGGTCTCCAGCCAGAAAGCAGACTCCTCTGTACCGTCCCCATCGTCCCCATCCCGAATGATAGCAAGGGCACCACTGGTCCTTTCTGTCCTGGATTAGCACCCTGACTCCCGACCTCCTTCCCCAGGGTGGTGGCGAACGTGGCTCACCCTTGAACAGCTGGGCAGGGCTGATGGAATGTCGTTACTGCCGGGGCCTGCAGGGGAAGGTGATGGGGCTTAGGGAGCCCGCTGAGGAACCTTAACTCTCCATTATTGTGGGGGCGTGACCGAGGGCGTGGCTGGAGGCTGGGGTACTGCTAAGGCTTCGTTTTTCTGTGCATAAGTAGCATCAACACGTGGAAGTGCAGCTCCTGCTGGCCACCAAAACCTGCCCGCCGCACCCCTCCCTGAAGTGAGCATTTGTGTCTCTCCGACCGAGGCCTCTTCTCCTCAGGAAGGGCCTGGTGAAGCCTCACCTGTTTACTCACGGTGTTGTGGTGTTTGGGTTTTAGTGGTTCTGGGGCTCTAACCAGGACCTCCATCCGCTGGGCGAGTATCTCCGCCCCCACCCACACGCTGGCTTCTGAAGGCAGGGTGTCACAAGATGTGCCCTGCGTGGCTCCGGGCACTCCACCGGGAGCTGATGGCCATCTCTGGCCAACCCGACTGGGGGAGCAGACACGCACAGACCAGAGGCTCGGGCAGCTTCTCCCTGCGTCCAGTTGTGGGCTACCAGTGTGGGAGGCAAGACGGAGAGCGTGGGCCTCAGGCCTGTTCCTCACTCTGAACCCATCCTCCACCCCGAATAGCTGGCCCTGCGCCCCACTCTGCCCTCGGACTGATGCCAGGCCCTGCCAAGCACCCCTCCGCGGTGCCCTCCTCCAGTATCACACTCCACCAGCAGCGTGGCCCAGCCGCTCCCCCAGAGCTCTTCCTCTGCCTGCCACATCTGCCCACGTGAGTGTCCACGTTTCGTTTGAGAGCCTACTGGGGCCTGCAGGCACTGCTGGCTGAGACTTAATAAAGGTGTATTTTGCTAGAAAATTATTTCTTAGACAACAAGAGCAATCTCTGCTCTCAATCATGGCTCTGAGCAGCAGTCGAGGCTCCATCCGCCTGCTTGGTCCTGCGAAGCTTTAAACGATAGTGTGGGGCCCTTCCCAGCCTTTGATATGACCGTGGCAAATTGGCAGTTTGCTTTCCTGCAAAGAGCAGCTGCTTCAGCGCGATGTTTCCTCAGACTCTGGCCTAAGTCCCCTCGGTTTTCTTCCAGGAAGTCCCTATAGAGTAAAATGCCTGCATTTGGCCAGCGGGCACAACGTGCAGCCTCCAAATCCTCTGGCCAGTGAGGTCGCAGCCTCTCCCTGTGGTCTCAGGCATCTCTGCCCTTGATCCATGAATCCCAACGCCACCCGGCCCGTGGACCCCAAGGCTGGCGCTGGGCCGGCTCCGCTGAAGGCCTGGGTGTATCCAGCGTTCCCTCCAGGCAGCCCTGTGGAGGCTGCATTTCTAGAGTGTAGGGGAGTTTGATGTCTCTACTTCAGATCGAGTCCTTCCTGCACTGACTGGCATCTCTTGCAGGACGGTGGGGCCAGTCCTTAGAGCCCGAGCAGTCATGTCCCTAAGCATTTCCTCTGACCAGGCCTAAGAGCAGTGGGGGTGTTGAGCTGCTGGGCAGCACCATACCCAGAACAGCAGCCGCTGTGCCTGGAGCTGCTGGCTGCTGGAGGAAGCTGCCACCGCCGCCCCAGCCCTGGGTCCTCGCTGCTCTCCCCCCCCTGCCTCGGCCTGCCCCGCCTTGCGTCCACCCAGTACCAGTGTCCCCAGGCCGAGGCACCCTGCTTTGTTCCTCGTTGGGCTCGTTGGACCTTGACTGGCTATCTCCTGGTGTGTGGGAGAGGTGGCATCTAGAACACACCAGTGTCCCTCCCGACCTCCGCCCGCATGTCCTGGCAGCCCCTGCAGGACACAGCTTGTGCTTAGCAGGCTGGATGCGCTGAGAACCCCCAGGCCCTCCTAGCCAGCTGCTGCAGCTGTGGCTCCGCTTGGCTGGGCACCTGGTAGTGCTCTGAGCTGGGCATGGGAACACCCCCTGCAGTACAGGGTAGAGAAAGTACCCAGCTGAGGGGTGGGAGCAAAGACTCGGTCACAGCGCATCAGCGACCAGGCGCAAGTCTGCAGGAGAGGAATTCCAGATGCAGGCAGGAAAGCACCTGGCGGCCTGGGAGCTGACGCGAGATGTAAGCAACCCTGAGGCCCAGGTGGAGGCTCTCGTGGGAGAAGAGGGACGCGTCCTGGTGTTAGAGCTGCTCTTACCTGCCTGGCCCCACGGGGACCCTGCTCACGGGGACCCTGCTCGCGGGGACCCTGCTCGTGGCCCAGGGCTGCGGATGGAAGGTGCCAGAGTGCTCACTCCACCGGGTGGGGGCAGGGCTCTTGGTATTTTCCTAACACTGACCATCGAGGGAGTGTTCTGGGCCGTGAGACTGGCAGGGGTGGGGTCCGCGGCTCTCAGGGAGGGGCTTGCTGTGCTGCAGTTGTGCCCGAAGGAGACGCCACAGCGGAAGCAATGGCTGCCGTCCCAACAGGCCTAACACCTGGGTGCTTCCTCCCATCCACCTCCTCCTTGCCATTTTTCCTTTGTGTTTTTTGTTCATTAAATTAATTGTTGCTCACCTGCTCTCATGGACAACAGTGACATCTACCAGAGCAGCTTGGTGGCAGCCCTGACAGATGCTGTATGCTGCCAAGACTGGGGACACCAACGATGTCTCAGGCCCTGGGCCCTGCCCCGGGGTGCACTGTGCCAGCCACAGGGACCAGACGTGGTAGCACATGCCTATAACCCCAACCCTGGGGATGCTGAAAACGGGAGGATCACTGTGAGTCTGAGCTGCGTAGTGAGGCCCTGTACCAAATATATATAAATATATATAAGAGGAAAAAAAAAAAAAAGATCAGGCCCTGGGCACTGCTGCCGCCACCTGAGGGCAGAGGGCCAGCTGTCAGGTAGCAGTCAGCTTCCCCACCCAAATCAGAAGTCCAAGCACCTTGAAGTCATCCAGCCCCAAACCCTGTGCTTCACTAGGCCTCACCGTTTTTTGTTTCTTTTTTGGTGGAACCAGGGATTGAACTCAGACCCTTGTGCTTGCCAGGCAAGCGCTTATTCTACTGAGCTATCTCCCCGGCCCCTAGGCCTCACCTTTGTAAAAGTGCGCAGCAGGATGAGTTCTGACAGATGTGTGTGCAGTCGTAGCCCCACGACAGACAGTCCAGACAGAATCTTCCTCTAGGCCGTAAAGCCCCCGACTCCAGAGTTGCCGCCACCCAGGTCCTGTGTATGTGTCAGGCAGGGAACTGAGGCATGATTTCAGTCATCCTGAGCCCCCCTTGAGAAATACATGAGGTACAGCCAGCTGCCTCCACCTGAGCCAGCAAGCGTCGGGGCTGGGACAAGAACCTGGGTCTCTCGGACTGGGCCCTGGCAGGAGAGGGCTGTGGTAATGGTAGGGTCCTCCCAGCTTCAGAGTCCTAAGAGTGCAGGAGGAAAAGAGTCCTGAGATGTGTCACCCCTGGGGTTTTGCCAGTAGGGACTGTGTCTCAGGCTGGCTCTAATCCCTGCCAGGGTCCTGGGTACCACAGGGTGCCAGCAGCCAGGGGACGGAGGGGAGGCTCTGCCATGTAGGTTGGGGTACGGAGGCAGCTCAGAAGCAACAGCTGGGAACAGACAGGGACAGGACCTTGGGGACCATCTCATCTCAAGGGTTCTCAGACTTTGGTGAGCACCAGATCCCTAGGGCAGTGCTGGTGGGACACTGCTGTCCCAGTGTCTGTCCTGGGCCCCACTTTGAGAGAAGTTCCAGCCAGCTCCCTTCACAGGCCCCAGGTCATGGACAGTGTCACCTTGATGGGGGCTCCCATGGGCCTGCATCAGCCCCAGACCTGCCTGGGGGTCCTGTGGCCAAGGGGGCCAGATGGCAGGCAGGCGGCTGGCAGGGGTGACCGTAAGGTTTCCCAAGCCTATTGGAACAGGGTCACCTGGGGCCTCCCTGCCTTCTCTGACAGCTGCAGGTGAGCAGACCGCTCCTGGTGTGTGTGACTGCCAGCCTCAGGCTCGCCTGGAGGAGCCTCTGGCACACAGCCTGGCACACAGCCTGGCACATGACAGCTGGGCCTCCAGCAGGGTCATCCTCGAGATCACCCTGCTGTCCCCCCTAGCTGCAGTTGGTAGTGGACTGTCAGATACTGACCAGAGGCATCATGTCACCAGGGAGTGGAGCCAGCTGTGGCAGTGGCCTGGGCACAGAAGCTGCTGGCCAGGCACTGGGGTCTCCACAGGACCCGGAGGAAGGCCGGGCAGCAGCAAGCGGAAGTCAGCTCTGGGGGCTGCGGGCAGACAGGCGGGCAGGGAGGGCGCTGGACCAGTCCAGCCAATTTCAAGTAGAGTAGAAACTTCCCTGGTGGTCTAGCTGTTAGGATTCAGCACTCTCAAGTAGAATAGAGAAAATTTTCAGGGAAGACAAAAAGCTCGCTCTCGCTCTCGCTCTCTCTCTCTCCCCCTCCCTCCCTTTCTCTCCCCCCTCCCTCCCTCCCTCCCTCCCTCCCTCCCTCCCTTCCTTCCTCTCTTTCCAGTGTTCCACATTGAACCCAGGTTTTTTGTTTTTGTTTTTGTTTTTGTTTCTTGTGGAACTGGGGATTGAACTCAGGCCCTTGTGCTTGCC